AAAAGCAAAGAATAAAACAACATTAACTTCTAAACTAGCAAGAGCCTCTGCATAATTGGGACAGCAACTCCTGGTCCTTGTACAAAATTTGAAGGTAAATAAAAGGAAATATCAACTTTTGGAGAATTTGCAGAATTTTTTTTTTGTAATACTTTTAAATAAACAATAGAAGCACCAATACAAACCCTCTAGAGAATTCTTTTTGAAAGAATTTTTAAGAGAAAATCTCACACCTAAATTATTTTTATTTGAGATTTTAAATATTCTTCTTTTTGAGGTAATAGTATATTTGATGGTGAAGAAACAAATATTCTTTTTCTCATCTTCCATCATTGTAGTACCATTCATAATTTTATTTTTATATACATAAATTAGCTAATTGGGCAGCTATTCTTGCATTGTTTTCCAATAGAGAAATATTAAAAATTTATTGTAATTTTATTTTAAAACACTATATTCCTACTACTATTAATTTATAAAGTTTTAACTCTCTCCTTGCCTTAATTCTGCAAATCGTTAAGTAAAAATGGAGTTACTTTATTTCCAGAAATATTTTTAGAATCTTATATGGCTTTATCACAGGGTTTCGATCTCGAATTTTTAAAAATCCGCAAAATTGATCGAAAAAATCCGCATTTTATATCAAAAATCCGCAAAAAATTATCAAACCCAAAAATTTAATTAAAATCACTTTATGCATGGTATTTTTCGTCTTCTACAATTGAATTAAGCAATTTTTTTATTACTAATGATAATCTTTTGAAAATCTAACAACTATCTGAAAAATCACACTTGCATTTTTGTCGCGGAAGGTGTCGCAAATTATTATTTCTTTCATTTTCAGCGCCGCAGGCGAAAATTTTTTTAATTTTGGAAGTTAAGCCAAAATTCGTTCATTTTTAGGCCAGGCAAAAAATTTTGAGGATTTTGGAAGATCAAGGACACAGATTTTTTCCTTTTTTTGCGCCGCAGGCGCAAAATTTTGAGAATTTTGAAGGCCAAAAAGCCAGATTTCTTCCATTTTCAGCACCGCAGGCAAAAATTTTGAGGATTTTAGAAGGCTTAGCAGAAAAATAATGACATTTTTGCTAAAAGCCACAAGAAAATATAAAAAATCCTCATAATCTTCAAAAGACACAAAAATCCGCAAATCCGCATTTTTGAAAATAATCCTCATCGCCCTATCAAAAAACCACAAAATGAGGAAAAATCCGCAGATATCGAAACCCTGCTTTATCATCAACAAGGATTCGAGATTTTTGTAAATTTTTGTTTTGTAAAAAATTTTTTTAACTTTTTTTTTGTAAAAAAACTTTTGTAAACCCAATTGTTGAGAATAAACTTTCTATAAAGAAATATTTAAAAAATTATGTTTCTTAACCAATTATGTCAGATATTTCTTCTATAGGTGCAATTGTGTGCAATAAACTCTGTTTGAGGTATGAAAAAGCCAGGAAAGTTCGACTTTTTATTAAAAACAAGAACATTTAAACATTGTGTTTCTTATTTTTAAAAAGAATACCCTCCATTGTTTTTATTTATTCCAAATTTTAAATGCCTATAGTTTTTTTAAATACTTTTTGTGCCTTGTGTGGATTTTTTAAATCCCTCATTTTCAAAAATTTCGGTTTTATACCCAGTTGTGCAAAACTTTAATATTATTAAACAATTTTATTATTATTAAATTAATTAATCTATCTTTCATTTCTTTTTTTAAATGCTAAACAATTTTTTTTTGGTTTTTTTGTAAAATAAATAATAAATATTATTTAAATGTTTTTTTTTATTTTTTTTCCAGGTTTCCTTTTAGTAGAATTTAAATTTAATTTATATTTTGTATTTCCCAATTTTATCTTGCAAATAAATTTATTTTTAATTCTCAAATTATTTGTTTAAATTACCAAATGTTATCAGAAAAATGTGTTTTAAATATAAAAAAAACATTTGGACTTAGTAGAATTTAAATTTAACCCCCTTACCTCCCTTTTTCCTCCCCTTTCCCCCTTATAATTTAGTATTTGGATATGCCAATCCAGAAAATATTTTTGAAAGCGCAAAACTATTTTTTAGTTATTGGACAACATTTGTTTGCCATTTGGTTATTTTCTAGATAATGCAGCTGTTCATTTCTATTTTTAAATCTCCAAGAACAAAATTAAGGATTGGAAAAAGATAAAAATAATGCAGATGGGACAAAATATTTATTTACTTTATTTCCTTTAATTAAATAACCATCTCTAATAGAAAGCACTTTTATAAATTAATTAGAATTTACTTATGTCTGATAACATTTGGCAATTTAAATAAAAAATTAGAGAATTAAAAATAAATTTGGAAAAATTCCGTCATATGGTCCGGAAACCGATTCGGATAAACGATATGTCATTCGAAAGAGCCACTCAAATAAAGTAATTACGGCATAAAATAAATATTTATTTTTTAAATTTAAAATAATTTTTCAAAAAAACTTTTGTTTATATCTAATTGGATAAATTAAAACTAAAAATTATTTAAATAAAATCAAGACGAGTGATAGAAATTCGTCGATTTACAATTTCATTAATATTTTAAAAGTAAAAAAACTCAAAAAAATTTTTCAGGATCTCTTTTATTTATTTGCAGGTGTGTTTGTCAAATAAAAAGTAAAAAAGCAAATGCCGCTCCTTAGGGAAAATAAAAGAATCGAGAGGGCCTTTTAAACATTGATGATTCTTTTTTGAAGACTCTTAGCCGGCTAAGAGGCTATATAAATTTACATTTTGGCATTTTTTAGTTAAAAAGGAAAAGGAGGGAGAGTATTTTAGGCGGGCAAATTTTTCTTTTTTTTATTTCTTAAAACGGAAATTGAATATAAGGTGAACAAAAGGAAATTTTAGAAAATAATGAAAGAATGGTTATGCAAGCGGTAAAGATAAAAAACTGTTTAGCAAACAAAAATATAAAAACATTAATGGAGGAAGGCAATCCAAAAAAGGGCATTTGATGATAGGAGGCATTCAAGAAAATAAATTTGTTGGAAATTTTATTTTTGGGTAAATAAATATTTTAAAATTTTAATTTTTAAAAGAAAAATATAAATTAAACAGACGATATTTCTAAAAAATTATTAAAAACTTTTATTTATTTTATTATTTTTGCTAAAAATTAATTTAACAAAATTTTTTTATTTAAAATTTCTTTTACATTCTTATGTTTCATTATTGTTAGTAGTTTCTGGATTTATTTGCACAAACAAAATTAGGTCGGAAGTAAATTAACAAAATATTTTTTTGACTTTACTAAATATGTATGTAAATAAAATAACTTGAAAAATATTTTTATTGAGTAAATTAATTATTTCTATATTTACATATTTACCGAATTTATTATAATAGAATGGCCGCCATTCGGTGTTACAACAATTGCGGATACGCACGTGCGGATGCGACGATTGCGGATTAAAAAATTTTTAAAAATTTTAAAAATGATTGAAATTATATTCCGATTTTTTGTCCCGGATGTCAGCTTCAGACTTCTGACGGTTTCTGAATCATTTTTAGACAGATGTGGCACTGAAAACCTTAAAAAATCTTAACTTTTTAAAAATTTTATATCCGCAATCGTCGCATCCGCACGTGCGTATCCGCAGTTGTCGTACCGCCCGCCATTCGACCCTATACGCAGATCGTGCCGGCTTGATATTTTTCCTTACTTTTTTTGAGTAGCTCGGAATGGTCATGTTTCTCTACATTTTTGATGTTTGTGATTTTGCCGTAAGGAAAAAATGGTGACTTATTTCTTCTTTCTACAAAAGACAGACGGACTCAGACAGACAAAACACGGACGAAGACGGACAGACAAAACACGGACGAAGACGGACAGACAAAACACGGACGAAGACGGACAGTTAGCAATTTTTAAAGCATTTCTAAAAAATTAAAAGAAAAATGTCTGTTTTTCCTTATGGCAACCATCACAAACATAAAAAGTTGGGAAAAATACCCATTAAAAAAATAAGGAAAAAAATATCAAGCCGGCACGATGTGCGTATAGAGCCCGCCATTCTATATTTCTATACCTCCAAAAAGGGGCAATTCAATTGGAGAGGCATTCAAATGGAGGTGCCATTCTACATATGTTTCATAGTCTTTAATCAGAGGGTGGACGTATCTAATATATATTTTTCGACTTGAAAATTCAGCCGATGTATCCAGGTTGTATGTTAGCAAAATTTCCATCACTTCTTTTGTCATTAATTTTTGCATTTACAATTAATAAATAAAAAATAAATAATATTAATATTTTTAAAATAGTCATATCAATTTTAAATTTTATTTATTTTTGGAGATATTGATAATTATAATGGGTGAAAACATTGCCGTATTGATTCATTAATTTTAGTTTTTGCTAAATTTATCTTTTTTTAATTACTTTCAGTTTATTTTAATAGAAAATTAGTTATGTTTGTATAGATTTATTCAAAAATAGGTTAAAATATTTATTTATTTATAGTTGAGGAATACTAAAACATTAAATTAATAGGTAGGATTAGAAAGATAAATTTTATACTTTCTATTGAATCTGAGCCTTATGAATAAACTACACGAACTTGACTGTAAAGTTATACACAAATACTTTTAATTGGGATCTATAAATTAATTATAAAACACTAATATACAGCGTATTTTCTTTGAGAATTTATTTTTAAGTCGGCATGTTCCCTTCTATATTTATAGTTTTTATTTTTAAACATTTTTACAGAAGGAATTAAATAATTAAAATATTCAGTATTTTATTTAATTATCCCCATATTTTCTGCAATTCTTTAAAATGCATATTTGTCTGTTCATCAGATTTTGTTGTTCTTTCAATTGTTATATTTTGATTATTTCTGATAAATTTGATGAGTTTAATATAGACAATAATTGTAACAGTTGTGTATAGATAGAGCAACTAGAAATAATTTGCTTTAATTTTATATTCTATAGATAGGTATGGAAAATTGTGGGAAAATCTTATATCTATTTAGAACAATTTTTTAAATATTTCCCTAAAATTTGCCCTACCGTATCAATTGTACTATAATAAAACACGTAATTTGTAGAAGAAATTTTATCTTTATAAATCCGAATTAACACAACTAGAGCATTATATATTAAATAAATTGTTGCATAAGCAATATCCATTGGAAGGATTAAACGCATTACAAGAATATTCTCATTTAATTGAAAACTTTTACTTAAATTATAACCAAAAAATATATTTTTACTAAAATAAAAAAAATTTTCTAATTTATTTTTAAGACTGATAAACCTCCTTTGTTTTATTTTTTTATTTAATTTTGTTATTTTCCAATCACTTAAAGCCGTCAAAATAACCATTAAAGTAGTTAAAATGCTAACATAAATTGTTAAATTTGCAGTACTTTTTGTTGACAAAAATATTGCTCCTTGAATAGCCATTGCTGGATCAGCAAAAGCCATTAATATTATATATATTGAATAACCGATTGAAATAACCCACTAAAATCGAGAAAAAATCCTTTACTTAATTACTATCTCACACAAAAAATATTCATAAAAACAGCCAATTTTCTCCCCTCATTTTCATATTTCTCCAGAAATAAAGTTGCTCTCAAACGTTCAAGCATTATACAAAAATGGAGTGAAGGATAACATAAAATTTGAATATAAAACGGTCCAAGTAAAAAACAAACAAGCCAGAGGGGGGTTAATAATTCTTTTGGATCCTTGTAGAAAAGAAGAACTAACTTTAAAAGAAATACATATTTTAAATAAATAAATATTTATTTTTAAACTAACACAATAACGTAAAGCTGTGATGAATTGGGCAAAAGTATTAATGAAGCAAATGAGGACAATGCTCATAAAAAGTAGCTAAAAGGTTAAAAGATTCTAGGAAAAATTTTAAAAAATAATTTAATTTTATTATTTTTATATCGTGAGCCAAGGATCGGTTTTATCAAATTCTTCTGTTAATCAAAACTTCGGTCTTCAATTTTCTGTTTTGGTTCGACATGAACCGCTGCACTCGCCGTCGGTTTTCAATATCCTTTATTTGAAATCTATTGGTAACCTCACCGGTGTGGATTTTTTACTAAACGAAACTTTATTCAAATTATTGAATAAATGTTTAATTTATAAAAATATAATAAACAAACCATTAAATTTCGATGAATTGTAATTTGAGTTTTTAGATATTGTCTAATAAGCTCAAAAATTAAAATCAAAATTATAAAAAGAATTAAAAGATTTATTCTCAATATAATTGCATAAGCTGGACTTAATAAACTTTGTTCTAGATCAATAGCTAATGAATTTAGGTTTATGGTTGATGTTGAATTAATTGATGTCATATTTGATATTAATTTTATTTTAAGGTTTTTGACTAATTATTTATCTTTATAAATTAGTAAATATATGAAACTTAAAAATTTATGTGTGCATATCCGGGATCTGTACGAGATTCCTCAAGGACGAAGACCACAAGCAAAATACTTCATCATAAATTTAAATCAAACGAAGGAAGTTCATAAGGAAGGAAGTTCATAAACGAAGGAAGTTCATATAGCAACACCTAATACCAATGTATAACTAAATAATTAAGTAGTAAATTAAAATTGTATTTTATTTTTATTGCGTGCGGATACAAAAAATATTAAATAAAAGTTTAAGCAATTTCTAATTGCCTAATATTTTATTCCAATAAAAAATGTTAATTCGTGAGAGTACAATTTAAATTAAAAATTCACTGGTCGACAAAAAATTATTAACATACAAATAAATTGAATTTAGCGGCATCGGATTCGGGACGTTATCGGCGGTTGTTATTTCCGGTACCCGTTTTGCTGAATTTGATAGGGATGTTCATCATCTCATCATAAATTTTTTATTATCAATCTAACACTAGACATTAATTATGGGAAAGGTTAATTCTGCAAATGCACAATTGACAATTATTCTGTTGTACTTAAAATACTTTCGAAGTTTTTCGATACCCCCCAAAAAGGGGCTATTTAATTGGAGAGGCCATTCAAATAAAAGTAGCCATTCTATATTCAAAATTCAACCGAATTCTTTTGAAAAATTCTATATTTTCAACATTGAATAGTGAATTTGACTTTCAGTATCACTATAACACTTAACACCTAGAGGTTTTCTTGCTATAAGACAAGAAAGGCTGGTTTTGATTGATTTAGTTACACAATCAAGATTTTCGGTACTGTTGGGTACCAAATTTTCAAATTTTCATTTATTTTTTCTCCAAAAATTTTTTTAAATTAAAATATGAAGAAATTAGTGTAAAAATTTTCTTTTTTGATTTTCATTGTTTCTTTATTTTAGAGGTAACACAAAAAGAAAAATTTTGGGGATAAAAAAGAATTGAATTTTTAAAGGTTTAATCGGGCATTAAAAAAGAAGAGAAAAAAAAAGATTCTTGAACCTTTTTATTTTTTTAAAAAGTTCCCGTAGAGATCTCCTATTGTGAATCTCATTTAAGAAACAAAAAGATTAAAAATCAAAAAAACTTAGCTGCAACAATTATTTTATTTTTTGGAAAGAAAATTATGGGGTAAATTAAAGGAAAATTATTCTCGATAAGAGGTAATATCGGATTTAAATTTTGTTTAAACTTTCTCTGGTACAAACCAGAAAAATTATAAAAATTGATAAAACATGCAACAAATAGCTATATTTAATAAGCTCTAGAGCTGTCCAAGACTCTTGGTCTTGAGTCTTGATTCCAAGACTTCTCTTGGTTTTTTTTCGGTCTTGGTCTTGGCAGACCAAGACCGGTCTTTGGGGAGACCAAGACTTGGTATTTATTTTATAATTTTAATCAAATTTTCAATTTTATCTTAAATAATTCCAATTTCTTTATACAGCAAAGAAAATTATATTTTCATTATTTTCTCATTTAAAATAAAAACCCTGGGGGTAATAAATAAAAACCCTATAAAAACCCCCCATAAATATTAATTTTTAATAAAATTAATTAATTTATTTAAAAGAATAACAAAGATTTAAATTAAATAGCAGCTGCTTCTACTTTATTATAAAAATATTTTTATAAAATCATAATCAGTAACCACAACAAACAGATTTTCATGCTAATTTACTCCTTTTTTTTACTCCTTGGCAGCTGCTAACCATTTTGCCTGATTGCTTGCACAACGGGCACTTCTGGGCCAAAAGCCTTGGCCATTTCAGAAAAGGCAGATTTGACAGTAGAACATCTGCCACAGCTGTCCAAGCTTTAAACAGCCTTAAACAAGGCTATTTTGTCAGTTAGTACATTTTAGCCCCGTCCTAGTCTTCCGGCCATCTGCCCCTTGAATTCATAGCCAGCGGCCAAATGCCACGGCCATTCTTGGCCTACACACCCACATCTGGCTAAATGTATATGTGAAGAGTGAAAATAATTGAAAGTAAAAACACTCGACTGGTTATAATTTGATTGAATTTATTTGAGGTAAAACTTAGCGCGAAATTAAAGAAAAATGTTGAGAAAAAAGAATTATGTATATCTATTTATTACTAGATAATTTTAAATGAATATTTTAATGAAATAAAAATTTAATTTAAGCAAAATTTTTTTAAATAAAAATTAATTAACTTTGATTAAAATATCATTTAAAAACCCATCATTTAATTGTCATAAAAGTGTTTCTAATAATATAGAAAATACAGAATTTATTGTTGGAGAATATTAAGAAGAACTCTTGTATCAAAACTGCCCTTACTTATAATAAAAATAATTTAGGGGGCTTTTTGAATTAAAGATTAATACAAAAAATTTATTAACTATTAAAATATTTATTTTATGTAATAGAAAAAAATTTTAAAAAACAAATTCTAAAAAAATCAAAATTTTACTTTGCTCTTTTCGTCTTTTAAAATAAATGGTAATAGTTTGGAATTCGCCCCATTTTTTCCTTTTTATTTTTTCTTAGTTTTTCTCATTTTATGGCAAATTATATCATTCGAAAGAACCCTTCGAGTTGAGTCGAATGACATTAAAATCAACGAAAACAAAAGTGAACAAAGCTGTGACCGTTTATTTTATTCCCTTGCATTGGCACAAAAAGTTTTCCCTACGAGGATTTAGCCACATAATTTTGGTAAGAATCACTAGATCTAGCTGATCTTGGCTCTGTAGAATGATATATGATAAATTATATATCAAACAAAAATAGCTCAAGATGGTCAGGGAAACGGGGGAAAAGGGGGGCGACTTCCAAACTATAATATTACCAAATAAATACAAGAAAGAAAATCCTTTTATCTAAAAAAATATCTATTTAATACCCGCATATTTTTTCAAATTTTCCTTCCTCAACAAGTTCTATGCATCAAGGGGAATGTTGTATTAACATGTGATGATGGTGTAGTTTGATTAATTTTTTGATTGAGTCGATTAATATGTTTAATGACCGACTAAAAAATAAAAAAATTTTAAATTTTTTTTCGAAAAGGAAAGTGGTTGGCCTATTTAGGTTGTCGGATAGTTGGAAATCTTCGGATATCCGGATCAGGAAATTTTATATTTTTTTAATTTAAAATTTTTCTTATCAGGAAATTTATTAATATCCGGAAATTTCCGGATATCCGGCCTTTTTTCAGATCCGGATATCCGGATCCGACAACCTTATTGCCTATATCTAGTTTTGGGGTTAGAATTTATTTTTAAAAATTTATTCAAATAAAAATAAAATTTAATTCCGTTCATCAAACCCGTTCATTAAAAAAACTTATAAATAATCGAAAAAATATTTATTTAAGAGTTTTCTTTTTTAATTTAAAAATAAAAATTTACATTAACAATTTGTAACTGTCCACAACCAATTTTTTCTCCAACCATTTTTCTTAATTTTTCTAAAATTTCTTTTCTTTCTTCTTTTAAAAAATAATTTTTTTTATTTTTATTTTTAATTTTTCTTTCTTTTAAAATTAAATTTTTTCGAAGAATTTTTGTTGTCGAAAAAGGAAATTTTCGAAATTTTATTATTTTTTTGTTTTTTGGATTTGTTGTTGTTGTTGTTGGTATATTTTCTTGTTGATTTGGAAACATTTTTTTTGAAAATTATATTAAATTTCTGAAAAAAGAAAAACTTTAAACAAAGTAAAAAGTAGTTATGGCTTTCTTAAAAATTTAATTAAACGGAAAAAAATATTTTTAAATAAATTTAATTATTATTTATTAAATAAAAATAAAAAAATAAATATATAAAAATATATAAACGAGAAATAAATAAAGGTATTTGGACTGACAAATGTTGAGAGAATAAAAAGAATGTTTTTGGGGATTAAATGAGAGAGAGAGAGAGTAACCACCAACCTTCCTTCGTCTCTCTTTTTTTATTAAATCCCGCCCAGTTTGCTTATTTTTAGCAAAATTCTTTGTCTTCCTCCTCCTCTTGTCCTTTTCTCTTTTGGTATTTGACATTCTTGAAAGGAAATTGGATGAAGAGAACAGCTGCCCTTAAAATTATTTTTTAAAAGGGCTTTTATTTGACCAAAAGCAGAAGTGAGTCGAACAGTCAGAGGTGTCTGAAAT